CCGACCGGTCCTAGGCCCGAGTCCACCCATATTCGTAGCTTTCACTTCCTCTATTACTTGTCGTTTCCTCCATGAAATGGCAGACCGGTGATATGTTTTGTTCTTGAGTTTGCCGGTGGCCCTTCAACCAATCGTCAAAACACACGAGCGTCTGAAGAGATTGTGCGCTCAACCTCATTCTATAACCAATTAGGACGTTCCCGACTTAACTATACTCTTGTTCCACGGCAACCGTTGGAACCGGTATGGATATTTTACCATTGTTGATAAAATAGGATACATCACTTCTTTGTCATTCTACCATTTGAGAATGTCAAAGTCTTCACTCTTCCCATACTCACAAGAAAACGTTAGATATAAAGAAATCTCTTTAATCAAGCTTTAATTTGTGAAACAATAGGAGTTAATTTAGTTTTTTTTCAAAGGATTAGATATTGTTGATTTAAAAAGACTCCTTTCTTAAGATGAGGCGAGTTGTTTCATGGAGGGGTACACTAGCATATTGTGAATGAAACTCATTAAATAAATTATGAAATATATATTATTAACCTTGTTGAATTGAGCGTGAACATCAATAAGTTGTCCACGTACATGGCCAAGTCTCATAGAAATAATTATAACACCACTCTAAAAAGGAGAAAATGATATAAATACTCAAGACTTTGACGGAGAGTGAGATAAATCTCCCAAAGTTGCATATGTAATATATATACCCCACCTTTATATAAAAATAATTTTAGCACCATGACTATATGTTTTTTACATATACAAATTTATTGCAATAAGTACACAATTTAAAAACACGCTAAACTTTATTTGAATGCAATTAACATTCTAAAATTTTATTTGTGAAATAAATAATATTAACTTCGCTTGGAATATGATGGAATAAAGCAAAATTGCTCACTAAATTGTTTGCGCTTCTTTGTTATGGAGCAGCGGTCAGTCCATGTAATTTCGACGCGATGTTCACTATGCATGGGTCATCCAGAAATAAAATGTAGTCACGGATATGTCCGTGACAAACGCACCAAAGTAGCAATTCCGGTCACAAACTAGTCACGGATCATGGCCGTGACTAAACGTAATCACGGATAAAAGTTTGTGACTACACTTAGTCACGGATTTTTAACACTACGGTTCGTGACTACGGCCCTGTTTTTCTGTACCAATTAGTATAGGGGTAAGGTTGCGTACATCCGACCCCCCTTACCCCACCGTAGGTGGGAGCCTTTGCGACACTGGGGTGATGATGATGATGATGATGATCCTCGTAAGTGATTTGTGTGTTTTAAATTGCATGCTTAACACGGTGGAATTACATTTGTGAAAAAACATATGATCATGGTGTTAACATCACTTTTATTTAAAAAATGGGGTATATATATTACATGTGTAAGTTTGGGGTACTTACCTCACATCCCTTCAAAGTAAGGCTTGGAAAAAACTCCCGACTCCCGACTCCCGACTCCTGATCCCGATCCCGACAATCCCGATCCCGACATTCCCGATTCCGACAATCCCGATCCCGACTAGTCAGGATTTGTTTTTTAAAAAAAAAAGTCGGGATCGGGAAAATCCCGAAATCCCGACATTATATATATATATATATATATATACATATATATATATATACACACACACACACACATGTATATAATTATATATGAATATATAAAAAATGAATATACATTTAAAAAAAATGAATATGTATCTAAATATTTGCATATCTTTTTTAATTACGTATTCCTTACATAGATTAATCTTTTACCACAAGTATCTTACAATATCAATCTTCTAAAACTATTCGGCATTTGTTCGAAAATGAATATTCGGGATCCTAACTATATAGAGATTATTCTTGATCCCGACAATCTAAATCACAACAATATTACAAATTTTGCGGTTCTGATGAACTCTTTAAAAAATAATGATCGAGACGAAGATTTATTTCTGTAGTAAATAATCATAATATGTATTTATACATTATATTCATTGGTCACAAAGTTTCTCAATGAGTCTACTTAGTTTTGAATTTTAAATAATATATGTTACACATCCTTCTTTTAGTGATTTTTATATAATGTTTGAAGTAAGTTTCACTAAGCCTTGATAGCTTATTCAAAAATTATACTTTTAATTAATTGAAGTTACAAATAAAAATTATTCTAAAGTATGTACTAATGTGAATTTGAGATGGTAATTATTACAATAAATTTTATAAGTAGATGATGATAAATATGGTACTATATAACAATATAATGAACAGAGAATAATCTTGAAACCACTAAATATCAAAGTGAGTGTTTAACTAAAGAAATTACATTTTTTTATGTTTGATACTTCATTGTCGGGATTTAGCGGGATTCCCGATCGGGATCCCGACTTAATCGGGATTTTAATGTCGGGATTTCGACTTAATCGGGACGGGATACGGGATCCTCTTGTAGTTTGAATCGGGATCGGGATTTGGACAATCGAGATCGGGATCATCCCGATCCCACCCCTACTTCAAAGTTTGAGATATTTAAATTATTTTATCACTCTTAAAATATTTAATAACTAGAAACTTTGAAATGAGAATCAAAACGAAAGCAATAGCATATATAATTGTGCCATTTGTTACAAAGCATGTAATTGTGACAATATTATTTTGGGGTTGTCCAAAGGTAAAACAATAAAGGCTAAAGGGTCAAATAGGCCTTTGAACTGGCTTAAAGTGTTCAATTAGTCCCTTATATAGGAGGTTCTGCATGGCCATCGCCAATTGGGGCGGTTCCCGGTGGAATTTTTTGATGAAATTTTTTGAGCATCTTCTTCATTAAGTCTAGTTTACTCATACCAAATTTCAGCTAAATATTTAACTGGGAAGGCAGTCAAATGATTTTATGAAGATAACTGTGAAGTTAAATAGCGCGGTACATTTCGGAAAATCATCTGACTGCCTTCCCGGTTGAATTTGTAGCTGAAATTTGGTATGAGTAATCTAGACTTAATGAAGAAGATGCTCAAAAAAATTGATCAAAAAATTCCACCGGGAATCGCCCCAATTAGCGACGGCCGGGCAGAACCTCCTATATAAGGGGCTAATTGAATACTTTAAGTCAGTTCAAGGGACTATTTGACCCTTTAGCCAACAATAAAAATGACCGTTTGGACCGTAATTATGACCAGGACCGTCCGATTTGGTCCAAAAAAATTTAAACCAGGACCAAGTACCCTAAATCTTGGACCCGGTTCAGTCCCTTGTCTGAAACCCTAAAAACGAACTCTGGTATAGTCCATAGCAGTATCGGAGTCGGTAGGTTCCAACTCGAACCGGACCACCACTGAATATATTGAATACTGAGTCTCTAATTCGAATATTGTTTCATTTCATATCGACCAAAGTTTTACTCAAAAATAAAAATCGGCCAAAGCTATTTCACGTGAAATCTATGACGACATGAAGGCACACCTCACTTTATTTAAATTTCATACTATTGGTACATGAGTATTGAGTAGTAAGTATATATGATTGTAGACATCTCTGATTTACATATAATTGTCTAAGTTTAAATGTGGAGATCTTTTCAAAAGAATAATTTCAATGTAAATCATACTATCCTCCGTTCTTTTTAGTTGCAACATGTTGAAGTTTACACTATTCGCGTGCTCTACTTTGACTACGTTTTACTACGTATTTATTAATTTATAAGAATTATTTTTTAAAAAAATGTTGTTCAATTTGCCTCATTACAAATTTTCAAAATCTATTTTTTAAAATTTTTTTACTAATAGAGAATAAGAGATATTGCCGGTCAAATACGTGCATTGGCAAATATGCACAGTTGACTATTGCAACTAAAAAAGAACAGAGGTTGTATAAAACTATTCAGTTTTTTATTATTGAGACAAGGCAAAATAACAGAATAAAACCAAACAATGTTCCCAAGTCTTTTTAAATATTATGCTCAATTTCTACTGCGTATATATATCTTCTTTGTATCTTAAAGTCCTTTTCCATTCTTCTATATACTAACATCTACTCTATACATTGATGATTGATTAGAAGGAAAATCCTCCTCCCGATCTTAAGTTCAACTTATATGTTGGATTCACACTTGCAACATTTGTGTACTACTTATTTCCACATCAAATAGTGGATTAATTGTTTTACATTGAATTAACAAAGAGCGAAAGAGTAGTAGAGCATGAAGAACATGTGACAAAAGCCCTAAACACAAAAGTTATAGGTTTCATAATTATGGGACTTTTGAACTCACTATTGTGAATGATTGAGAGACAATGCGTAATTACGGGTGTATGTTTCATCAAATCTAGCATGCCTAATTTTAGCGATACTTACACATGTGAATGAGTGAGAAACAATGCGTAATTACAGAATAAATATTAATGTATATTTAAACTTTGTCGCAATTAGTGATACTTACATACAAATTTTAACTTATACATGTACTGATGTACTAGGCAATAGACAATTAATTCGATTCATGGTTATTTTTTTGTGAAGACATATATATAAAGTGATTAAGTGTACAACATCAGTAAAAGAGAAAGTCCAAATATTTCACGAGGTAAGATAATTTGATAAGGATCTTGCAGAAAGCATGTTTTAAGAAATAAAATACAAAACTAACATTTGAAAATATAGTTAAAGTAAGCTGAATTTTCAGAAAAGATTACAGCAAGCAAGATTTTAAAACGGAGTACTATTTCCACTGTTGCACGTAGAGATAGTTCATGTGTGTGTAACAGAGTAAGGAGAGTTAAATCATTCTTCAAACATACGGAGTAATATTTATGTTAGTTTTTTTTCAATAGTTATGGTAAAACAATTAATTTGGTTTATATGTAGTTATAGTGAGGATAGGATGTAAAGAATAATACTAATAGTCTAATTGGTTTAGTGTGATAAAAAATCACTAGCATATACAATATACTACGTATTTGTTTCAGTGAGATGAGGATCGAAAAACATTACATCTAGTCATCTAGGGTGTTCGTTCAATACTGTTGATTTAAACTTCGAGTCATGCGTACTGCGTAGTATGAGTTAGTTACTATTGCTCTTTTATTAAGCATTCAAAATAAGTTAGCATGGCATAACACTTGGTTTATCTCGCAATTATGAAGACAATAATAAAAGTGGCGCGATTATCCAACTAAAACAAAAGATTCATGGTAAAAACGGAGTATCAAAATGAAACAACTTTAATTTAAGATGGAGATGTAACAAGTTCTCTGGATGCAGACCGCTTCTATGTACGGGCAGCACTTGGAGGAGCGCCAGCAGCACGTGGTGGCACACCAGGCTTAGGAGGTGCATTGTCCATTGGGCGTCTGAATTGACGCACTGGAGGTTCTCGATTTCTCCGATCAGTGCGCGAGCGAACTCTGACAACCTTAGAGTGAATTGCACACGAAACACAGTATTGCACCTTCAAATAGAGCTTTGGAAGAGTGTATGATTCAAAAGCACAAGCCTCTTGGACATCTCTAACAGCAGCTTGCTCCACAATGTTTCTTACCATAAACCTCTTGATGGCTTTGTCTTTAGGGCAGCACTTTCCACAGTTGGAGCAACGGACGAACTTGACGTGGCCACGGCCATGCTTATTGCGACCTCCATTCCTCCTCTTGAAAGTCATTGTAGCTACATTTGAGCAACAGATTGGTATGGACGAACGGCAAGGTGTTAAGAGATTATGGTAGTTAATAGGGAGAATTTGAATTTGCACCCAATCATATAACATTTGTGAAGGAAAATTTCTAAATGGGGTGCAAAGTCAAGGGATTTTGAAGTGCAATGGGGTGCAAAATCAAAGTTTTTTTTAAATGGGGTGCAAAGTCCAATCAATGTCAGCCAAAAAGTGGGGTGCAAAGTCAAATCCCCCCTAGTTAATATAGCTCTTAATAGCAGGAAAATCAGTTTTAATTATAAGGAAAAAATACTTGACAGAATGTTAAGGATTAACAATCTATTTGAGTGAGAATAAATTCAAAACGGAAAGGTCCAGCACACTGATGGGAAAGGGCGAGGAAATATTATAGAAAAATATTTCAGATTAAAACAAGTAAAACAACATTCTCAATTGTTTAAATAATTTTAGAGAGTAAGAATAAATTTTCAAATGTAATCGCTGAAAGCAACAAGTGAAACAAGATTCTGAAAAATTCATAAATTACATCGAACCTATTTGTGTAATATAAATCCCATCATTTTATTTGCTTGAACAAAATAAAAAAGAATTAACCAAATTTATATAAACAAAACAATCAATTAAAGGATGTGAGAACTACGTTATGCATGAAATGATTTCAACAATTAAGAGGAAAAACATCCAAGAAAACACGCAATAGGGGAATAATCAAATAAATGACTATGTAATCGGCTAAATTTATAGGTACTGCATTGAACTGCATGTGTTTAAATTACAAAAATGCCTTTGAATTTACAGGGTTTATAGAAGAAATGAAATAATTTGAAATCGCAGAGGAATTGAGATGATTTTTAGTGAACAATAATACAAATTAAGGATATGTTTGTGTCTAAATAGATTTCAAAATCAGAGGCACACACACACGTGTGTGTGTGTGTGTATGTATATATGTGTGTGTGTATAACGCAAACTGGAATGATACCACAATGATAGTGGAAAATCTAAATAAAATGATTTGTTAACGTGCGAATTTTGGAAAAGTATGTTATTCACAAAATTAATTCAGCAAATTGGAAATACAAACACTTGAGTTAAGATGCAATTGAGGAATAATCAAACGTTGTTGCTCAAGTAATGAATCTAATACATGACTATTGAATGACGTAGATGATCACAAACAACTTTATATGTGGATGAATCAAATCATATATGTTTGTATTAGAATTTAGAAACAACCCTTTTGAATGCAGAACCATTGTATAGTTAATGAAATAGAAACCAAGCATGTGTTTGTGAGTGTGGTGTATATGACTGTGTGTATATGGCTTTTATAGGGATAAGTTATATAGTTTTCAAAATGATATACACATACACACACACCAGTACATGCTGAAAGTTTTCTTGAAGAGCAAAACCCCAAATTAAGGAATCAGGATACATGTGCGTATCCTGAAATCAGACAATAAAAAGAGATATACTTTGAATTTAAGCAAAGTGACATAATTTTTAAACAACAAAACTCAAAACTGAGGATACATGGTGTGAATGGGTCTATGGTTTAGATTAGTAGACAGGCTTTAAAAATATGTATATATAGTTTGGTGTAAAGCTTTTAAAATATGATGTGTATATACCTTTCACAAAGATTTTCCATGTTACATCATAGACATACCACTATAAATCCCGACTTTTAACAACTTGAATTAAATAAAATAAAAAAAAATGGCTTTTGTAGAGAAAAACAACCAAACGATTTGCACTCCCCACTTTTCTAGCTGTGATGTAAACTTAGATATATATGCAGTTTTAGAGATGAGATATAAATAGAAGAACGATGGCTTTGTCCAAAAAATGTAACGATTAATATTTTTGGATAATTACGTTAATAATCACTACAACAATAATCAGATAAGTGTAAGCACAAAAATTGAACAACAAGATAGATGGACTGAAGCAGTGATTCTAGAACAGACAAAAACATGTCGGGAAAGCAGAAAATGTGTGCTTAAAACACTTGATCTTGATGCAGGCGCCAACTGAAACACATAATCGGAAAATGAAATAACGGACCTTAACAACACCCTCTAGGTTTGATCTATTCACTGTTGATAATCGACTAACCTCAATATATTAGACGATCGACGTAGTGTAGACTGCGACTTGAGGGGTTGGGTGTAAATGGAGGAGATGGAAAGGAGATATAGCGTGCGACCGTCTGGCTGAAAGTAGGGTTAGGTTATTCCAGATCTTGGGCCTGTGATTTTCTAATTTGAGTGGATCAAATACTTTGGGCCAACAGCTTTAAGTATCCGTTTGACAATACTGAAATTGTCTGAATCGATTAATTATACTGAAATTTATGAAATTCTGCGTGAATAACTGGATTAGACAATCTAATGATTTATGAATAAAATAGAATTTTATTAATAAAATAAATAAAAAATATGAAAAATAGTTAAAATAGTTATTTACAATAACTTCAGCCAATAAAGCACAAAAGTAACTTTAACTTCACCTTTTCTTATTACTACATCATTCAACTCACGAAATCAAAAGTTACATGTTTGGTGCAAAAGTTGTCTGATACGCCTGGTAAATCAAAAATTGGGTCACCAAACGGGTTCGATCTAAATCGTTTGATTTGACACACTCTAGATGGGTTGAATCTATTAAAACTGATAAAATTCTAGCAGGACTGACCTACTTCTCTCATTTTCTTATTTGTGAAAATATTATATTTAAAATATTTTGTATTAATAAAAAACATGAAAAATAGCTAAAATGATCTTTCAGAGTAACTTCGGTCATTTCAATCACAAAAGTTGTATGTTTGATAAAACATTGACTGCTAAGCCTGATAACTTGAAAATATCAATTACCAAACAGACTGTTAACAGCGTTAAACTGGAAAGTAAATGTCGAAGTTAGTAATAAATTACAACTAATGTATTTTAAATCTCATGAACTAATTTAAAATTTGAAGAAATATTGTAAATTGTATAAATAATAATTTAAAGAAATAGTATATATTGTTTTAACCACAAATTTTTATTTTATATATACCATATTTTATTAATTCTAATATTTTAGTATTCATTATAACTATCACTTCCTTATATTGATTGGTGTTTTACCCAAAAAATGTACCGTGTGTATTCATTTATTTGAATAAAAAATCTCTAATTGAATTTCAATATTATTTAGTGGAATTGAAACACGTGAAAGCAAAATGTACACGTTAGAAAAACAATTAAAGTCTCTCCTACAATGTGCACAATTTGATGGCATTATGGAACTAGACCCAGAGCCTAATCGGTTCAGGCCCTGAATTTGGATCCTCGAGTCTGGGCCCACGACCTAGAATTTGGACCCTATCACTAATCACATCGGAAGAGCTCGCAGGACGACACGAGGCACATAGGAAGGACATTAGCTGCTTGCTGGTAGCCTAGAGTCACCATCACCGACTTGCCGCTGAGCGTCAGACTTGAGGACCTCACCACCAAAGAAACTTGTGTGCACGTGTTAGGGGAAGTCACCAGCCGCTAGTCAATAATAAGAAAATGTTAACTATAGAACATGAATCACTTTACTAGCACACTTATCGTCAAGTGCAAAGCGGCCGAACTAGGCCGATAATGGAGAATAGGTAGCCTGGATGAAGGGGGGACTAACAATCCTGCGATGGTTTAATACCATCTCGTGTAGTCCAACAAAACTGATGGTTGTATTATCGGCGACGCAGTGACAACAACTTCCGCTCGCCTCTCCCGTGTACATAGAAATGTATCGAACATGCCTGATCGAGTGATCAATCCTCCGTAGGCTTTCCACACCTACCAGGCTTACGCAACTCCATACATGTGTCAACAGATGCTGGAATGACCTGCTCATAGCCAAAGTAACGCAGTACACGATTTGGAAAAATGATTTTCAACAATGTAAAAACACATATCAATTGAACACATGATCGCCATTTATCATAATGCCCTCGACCTGCCGGGGGCAACTCCTCCGAATTTGGAGGTGTAAATGGCGTCCATGTAATCCGTTATATAAGAAATAAAATACAAGTCATACTACTATTTATTTGATATCGGATGTTAAATCATGTATGTACGCCACAATTGATCATCAAACATGCAATCAAATGCATCCATGTACTCCCTCAGTCCCAAATTGTATGATACATTTACTATTCACTTGGTCAACATAAATCAATCTTAATCTTTTATTCTATATATCAAAAGTTTATGAAATTTGAATTATTTTTTGCAGGTTTTGTAGCGGTTTTAATGTAGTTTATGAATATGTAAATTTTATTTTCTAGAACTAATTTGAGTGTTGATAAGGATCAATTTACTTTATCGTCAGTCAAACATTGTAAACCGTAATGTATCTTACAAATTGGGACGGAGGGAGTAGTATCTTAGTCCAGCAGCCGATGATTTCTGAGAAAGATCAACAAATGACCATTCGACAAATCGTGTAGTATATATTCATACAGATCCAAGAAATTCAAATATTAATAACATACAACAAATATAGATAGTCTTCTAAAACATACCCAAGTCCCAACGGGTAATCTCCCCGTCGATGTGGAGGGTGGTCATGAAGTGAGGTGTCCATCTACTCCATGGTAGCATAGTATAATGGGGCACCCTATTAGAATGTGCTCCCAAGACCAAATTTGTAATAACAATAAAAACCCAACCTTTGTGGTCCTACTATGACAACCTTGACACAGTTGCCTGTATAGATAAGTTAGGATTGGAATGTTGGAACGCATCCATGAAATGTGGCAATTCTAAATAGGAGTTATCCCGACCTCCAAATATTTCTACAATAGCCTTTTGTTTGCTCAACCAGGTACGTCTGTATGAAACCACCCAACCATATTTTTCCTTCATCAACTTGTTAATGGTGTGATTTATTTGTGATGGATAAGTGCAAAGAAGGTCAATTACACCTCGAGCAATGAATTGTGAAGTACTAGCCACATGAGCGCCTAAATCAATATTGCCGCACAACCGACACAGTGAGGCCCAATACATCGCACAACTATGAGCAGCTGAAGGTCCAAATGTTTCTTTGTAACTCGCATTCATCAAGAGCATCTAAGCTCAGCCACCCATATGTGCTTGTCTAATTTTAGAATATGAAAAATCTGATTGGGTTTGACAGAACACAATCTCACCATATTGATGAGTTGTCGCTTGTCATGAAATTGTTGCCCATCTTGAAATTCACCGTCCAATGTGAACATATTTGTAAATGTACATGTCTTCCACGAATCATCGAATCCCGACAGGAGTTCATAATTTTTGGTAAAATGAGTCGAGGGGGCAGCCGCGCTAACTGTATCACCCTTTTCTTCATTTGATTATATCATTTCCTCCTCTTTCATATGTTCATCTCCACCATCATCATTCTCAAATACGTACTTATCCTCTAAAACCATATTCAAAACAACTTCACTTTGAGAGGTGGCTAGCTACATGAACATCGTGCACAGATGGTTCCAGAAATGATGTTGAGGGAGATATACAAAGGTCTAGCAATATTAAACTTCAACCCATTTCATACATATATAAAAAATTACAAAAATCAACAACAAATAAATTCCTAATTTACGATCATTGGAACTTATCGATCACATATCGATAAGTTGAAGGCGTGGTAGTTCCCCCAACGCCGGCACACTACTTGAAAATTCCTGGCTTTGGATATGAGATAAAATGGAGATTTGATTTACCTTAAGGAAAGAGTGTTGAAGGCGTGGTAGTTCCCCCAACGTCGGCACACTACTTGAAAATTCGCGGTAGAGGATTTGGGGATTCCGTTTCCGTCTGTCTGCTGTGACTGCTGCGCATCCGTCGTTTTTAAAAGGAAAGCCGCCATCTGGTTGGGCGACTTATAAGTCGCCATTCCATTCGATGGCTTATAAGTCGTCGTTCTATCCTGCGATTTTCGTTAATATGATCAGACTAACAGTCTTGTCGTAAATATCTTTAACTTGACTTTATTGACGTAAATTTTATTTTTTCCAGCATTATTTCAAAAAATAACTCACATTCTTATGAATAAATAAGTTATTTTATTTTTAGAAAATAAAGAATTTAAAGAAAAAGCCGCATTTAAGTGAAATTACTTTTCCTATTGGTAAATTATCAAACGGCTCCTAGTACTGCCCTATCCTTCTTACACGTAGATTTTTGTAATATATGCCTCTCTCGATTAGCTCATCATAGGCGTCTTTTGCAGACGGAGTTCGTCAAAGAAAACGTTATACGACGTCGTTCCTGGACGTGCCATCTTCTTCTTTCAATTCGCCGATCCCGTACGCCGATCTCTCATTTCCACCGAAAATAATCTCAGAGAGTTTCCTCATCAGGAATTTGTTGAACTTGCCTGATATACTATCCTCTGCTCTTGTTTTAGTTCTATCAATCAAGTGGGTTAAGGGGGGGTTTTCAGTGTCCGAGGCTCGCCAGGGTTCCAATTCCAGTATCGGAAATTGTTAGTTTTACTCACAGGTGCATGTACATTCCAGAGAGGAAGTGGGTTCTGTGAAGGGATGGTGGTGTAACAATGGCGAGGCTATTTGGTTTGACGAGAGGAGAGCCAGCTGAGCCTCGGGAGATCACCCGAACTATTCCTACTAGCGAGTCTATTGGAGAGAGCGGGTGGCTCATCCGCTTCTTTGATTCCTCGTTCTTCTGCGAGTGGATCGCTGTGAGCTACCTCTACAAGCATGACCATCCGGGTGTTCGAGACTATCTCTGCAACAGGATGTACACGCTTCCACTCTCGGGCATAGAGAGCTACATGTTCCAGATTTGCTACATGATGGTTCATAAGCCGAGTCCCTCTCTGGATAAGTTTGTGATTGATATGTGCACTAAATCTCTTCAGATTGCCCTGAAAGTGCAATGGTTTCTGATTGCTGAGTTGGAGGATATAGATGATAATGAGGGCATCAGTAGGATTCAGGAGAAGTGTCAGATTGCTGCTACTTTAAGGGGGGAGTGGCCGCCCTTAATAAAGCCACACAATGTCACTTCGTCAAGTCCCACTGGAAAGAACCTGATGCTTAATAAATTACTGTTTTCCAAGCAGAGACTGTTATCATTGGCGTCCCCTCCTCCAGCCATACAGAGGTCATTGTCCCTTTCCCCCAGTTCAGGAACGGACCATTCGCAACTTGATGAGAGTGGTGGGAGCAAAATATCTACTCCTGAGGAGAATAAAATACTCAAGAAGCTGATACCAGGGCCAAAAGTACGAGATGCGTTGCTCTTTAGGAAGTCTGCAGAAAAGGAAGACGAAGGCCCAGATAAGGATAGTTTTCTCAAAAGGCTCTTAAGGGATAGTAAAGATGATGACAGCAGGAAAGCACCAGTGGATAAAGATGATGAGGAATCTGAGAAGGACAGTTTCTTTAAGAGGTTGCTAAGGGATAGTCGGGATGAGGATGGTAAGAAATTGACAGGCAAATATGAAGATGAGTTAGAAAAGGATGGGTTTTTTAAAAGACTTTTAAGTAGTAGTAGAGATGAAGATTCTAGAAAGTCTATCGAGAAAGATGAAGAAGGCTCGGAAAAGAATGGGTTTTTTCGGAGGCTTTTGAGTACTAGTAAGGATGATGAGGATACCACCAGCTCTGATGGATTTTTTAAACGTTTATTTCGTGACAGCAAAAATGATGTGGATGACCAACCCATCTCAAAAGCTTTTGAGGATGATGAAAATGAAGGGTTTTTCCGGAAATTTTTTAAGGAGAGACCTGAGGACAGAAAGGATGGGAGTGAGAAAAACGAAAGTGGGGAAAAAGCGAAAAAGATTTTAGAAGATGGTGATAAAGAAGGTTTCTTCAAAAAAATCTTCAAAGAGAAAGTTGAGGACAAGAAAGATTTGAATGGCAAGATTAATGAGTGTGGAAGAGACCATGTAAATGCAGAGGAGGAAGATCCTTCAGAGTTTTCATTGTTTCGTCGTTTGTTTCGTGTGCATCCTGAGGATTCCCAAGTGTCAACAGCTATTGAAAATAGTATCAATGGTAATTTTCATGAGAGCAGTCCCGGAACTGAGAACTTTTTTCGTAAGCTGTTCAAAGACCGTGAACGTTCAGTAGAAGATTCAGAGCTCTTTGCTTCAAAGAAGAACAGAGAGGTTGGCAAAGTCTTATCTCTTCAAAATTTCGTATGTAGGTTCTGCTTTTTTGCCTTTGAGCTCAGAGATGGGATCCAGCTATCAGTATTCTTAGACTTTGCTTGCTCAATTATTATATGGACTTATTATTAAACTTTAGGAGCTTATGTTTAACTGTTCATGAGTTTTGCCTTATAGGTATATGATGAAATTGTTTACTTTGGTAATAGTGAACTTCATGTTTTGATAATTAGATAAGTCCATATGATGAAATGGAATTCTTGAACTTTGAACAATTTTGTGTTAATTTGTTTGTCAAAACATGAAACCTTGAATAAGAGGTATTGCACAGGATTCTTGCACTTCACACCTTTTCCCCCTGTGCTCATAAGTGATTTTACTACCATGTATCTAGTTCGTGTTCTCCTATACTCCTTTTCATCTCTTCTGATTTTGTGACAACTCTCAATCATCTACTCCATGTTTTAGTTTTCTGTTTTGTAGTATGACACTATGACTATGACCCAGATCCTTTGTGAAGGATAAAGAATAAGAATTGGCACTTCTTTTCTCTGGACTTGTTACTGAACTGACATTATGTCCAGTAACTTCATTTTGGTTACTAGCCTACTAGGTTATGGCAAACAGTATCATGTTGACGTGTGGATGTATTGTCTGCTAGCTAATCCCCTGAAAACAGGGACCGTGGTTCTCTCAGTCTCCTCGTCAGATTATATTGCTTGCTTGCATATTATAAGTTAGTACTTATGACATATAATCTTTCGCTGTGCATCCCTTAGAGTTGTAACCATATCTTCTTTGCATGTGCATTAACAATCCTTATTGGTTGAAAAAGGAGTAATTTTCTTTTTTAATTAAGAGCATGAATGAGCGAATACATAGTACTACTTGTTCTCTTTAATCACACACAAGGAATTAATTTTTTAAGACCAAGAGATGAATATTAGCTAATCTTATTCACATTGATCACATGTGTTTCTGTGTGCGTGTATGATATTATGATGTGTGATTGTGTGTAGTTTTATAACCTTGTTATAAGCTATATGAATGCAGAATGCCAATCATTAACCTTTTTGAACGATAGTTAATCAATAACAGTGTTTTTCATCTATGGTGATGTCAATCTACATGTGTTTTATTTATTAAACTTGCTATCTCATGATCTCATCTTTAACTAGCAATAGCAAAGTAGTTTGATGAAGTGTTCCATTTAGCCTTTTACCTCCGGATGTTTATTTTGGTACATCTTCTATTTTCTTGTGTATGTTTGCATGAGGCATTGGTTGATAAAGTATAATATATGTGTGATTGTTTAATTTGGTAGAATCGTCCTGGCTCACCAAAGCATCATGATAAACCAACTTCTAAACCTCCACTTCCAAACAATGGTGTCTCACAAATAAGGAAAGGGGCATACCATGAATCCCTTGATTTTGTTCAATCATTATGCGACACTTCTTATGGCTTGGTAGATGTTTTTCCCATTGAAGATCGCAAAAGTGCTCTCCATGAGGTGGTTCTACTAATACACTTACTCACTTTCTTGCAAATGTACTTTTAAAAACATAATCACTAACCAAATTCGTTGCACTTGCAATTCTAGTCCCTTACTGAAATCAATGCCCATGTAGCTGCTGCTCAAAATAGTGGTGGTATGAATTCTTATCTTTCTAGTTCTGCGTTTTCATCTATTTTTCCTTTAACACTTGTTTAAATCCGAACGAGTGCAAATGCATCAAAATTTAAATTGACTAATTTCCCTCTCTTTCTTTTTGCTACATATTGTATTTTTTATAATGTGGGTGCCTTGTGCAATATGATTTAGGATTTTAGGTTACTTATGGAGTACATTTTATTAAGTTGATTGTTCATAACTTGATATTGAACTCATGTTGGTAGCCTCTTCATTCCCCTGTAATATTTGTTGCCATTATTTTAGGTTTCTTTTTCTTTCTAAATTCTAATACACTTTCTTTCTTTTTGAAATTAAATTTGTAAATCCAAATTCACGATTCATTAAAGTCATAATAAACTCAAAAACTGATTAGGATAACAATAAAAACTGTTAAAGATATAAAAGAAGAAAGGGTTGGCATAACTAATTTGTGATATATGTATCTTTCAAAATGAATTAGAGGGAGAATTTGCCAGAACAATTAGTCTAAACCATCACCATGCACAATTTTGGATGTATTCTCTATTTCTCTCATTCTAGTTTTTTCTCTGGTCATGTTGCAGGCGTATGTTTTCCGATGGGAAAAGGAATGTATCGTGTTGTTCATATACCTGAAGATGAAGCTGTTCTATTGAATTCTAGGGAAAAAGCTCCTTATTTAATTTGTGTCGAAGTTTTGAAGTGTGAAACTCCTAGGTAAGAATAAGAAACACTAAAGAGCATGGAAAGTAAGCATGCATACTTTGTTAATTATAGCAGTAGGCTCTGTTTGTGTGCATTTCAATTTGAACATCGTTTTTAATTTTTGTGCGATTAGCAGTCTGAAGGATGCTCCACACATGCAAAATCTTTCGAAGGGAGGAATTCCTCTGGCAAATGGAGATGTTCTATTACCAAAGCCACCGCCTTGGGCATGCCCTCAGTGGACGGGACATGATACGTACCACAGTGCTCACGATAGGATGTCAAGATCCACTTCCCAAGCAATAGACCAAGCAATGACTCAATTATGGGAAGCTAAAGTGAAATTTGTTCGTGTAAATCTTTCTGTAGAGACACAATCAGACTCTATGCCTGAATTTTGTAGCCAAAACAAAGAGGTTGGAGCATATCCATCAAATTTAATGGATGGTTGTGGTTTGGAACGGGTGAGGGTTACTTTGACATCAGAGGCTGGTGTTAGTATGGATGATATAGTGGATCAGGAACCAACACGTCGAAAAGAGCACCGCCGTGTTCCAAGTACTGTAGCTATTGAGGAAGTTAAGGTAATCTTGTGATCATCCTTTCTTGCTTTTGTTTTCCAAAGTTCCCCTGAATCATTTATCAACATTTACTAAAGGCTATTAAATGCTGGGACTGAATCTTGTTAAACAGATCTGTTTAGTACTAAATTCTTTTTTAAACTTAGATTGATTGTGCCTTAATCAAAATTGATTAATTGCCTTTTCTCTTATCAATTATTCCTTCCGTTTCCTTTTAAGGGTTCAACTTTCTATTTAAGGAAGCTATTCTGTACTTGTTCCAATCCCTCTTTTTGGAGAATAAAGGCTTGGTAAATGGCATAAATGTCCATTACTTTTTCATGCTCTCTTCTACTTTTCTTACTTTTTCATGTTCACTTTCCTACTTCTCTCTCTCTCTCTCTCTCAATACTTTACAGTACTCCTATCATGTTTTCTGAAGAACCCTGTAAAAGCCTAACAAAACAATTTTATGAAAGTGGATGGAGTGTTAAGTTTTAGGGAAAACTGTCAAATAGGTCCTCGAACTTTCATAAAAAGGTCAATTAAGTCCTTCTATAGGAGGTTCTGTCCGGCCGTCGCGATTTGGGGCAGTTCCCGGTAGAATTTTTTGATGAAATTTTTTGGGCATATTATTCACCAAGTCTAGTTTACTCATACCAAATTTCAGCTAAAAATTCAATCAGGAACACATTCAAATTAATTCATGAAGATAACTGCGCATTTTTGCATTCAAGAATTAATTGGAATGTGTTCCCGAATGAATTTTTAGCTGAAATTTGGTATGAGTAAACTAGACTTGGTGAATAAGATGCTCAAAAAAATTCATCAAAAAATTCCACCGGGAACTGCCCCAAATCGCGACGGCCGGACAGAACCTCCTATTGAAGGACTTAATTGACCTTTTTATGAAAGTTCGAGGACCTATTTGACAGTTTTCCCTAAGTTTTATTACTTGATTTCATTTAGAGATCTTACCTTGCTGCTAGTCACTAGTCTGAACAGTTAGTTATTCATTTACTGATTGTTCAAATTGATAACCAGAGGATGCTCAAGTGAGAATATAACGACTAGTATCAACTTCCTCTTGTTTTAGTATTTGGTCACTATTAGCTACTCTGGAAGAAGGTGAGGACTATTATGTAGGTATTGCATTATGATGGCTACTTGGTGTTTGTGTATTTTGAATAATAGAATAAATTATGGAGCAGATTTCCTGGTAGAAATTGATGGACTAACTGCAATGAGATCAAGTTGTGAGTGACTATGCTTTTGATGTTTTGGCATGGCCTTAGGAGTACTGGAGTACAATCAACAATGGCACTTCAATTGTAGCTTTTGCTGCAAATGAAATATCTGTGTTTAGGGGAATATTCATGTGCTGTAGTGTGCAATGCAAATGAAATTGTAGGGGCATATTCATGTGCTGTAGAGCGTGCTTCTGTTGACTAAGCGTGACATATAACTATTCTGGGGTCTAGTTGCTCTAAAGCTATTCTGGGGTCTAGTTGCTTTAGATATATAAGTATGTATAACTAAGTGTGATATTAAGGAGGTGTTTGCTATTGATTGTGCTTCTGAAAATTGATTTATAGAGAAACTGTTTGATAGTAAAAGGTGGTAGTGTTTTAAATTGGATGTGGTTTGATTTTAAAAGTAAAAGTTTGGTGAAAAATTGATTTGTGATGTAATATTGAGTGAAACTGTGAAAGTCAGAAGGTACAAAAATGTCCATTTTTGGCATAACCTGTCCTGTCTTGTCATGAAGGATATTTTTTGCAGATATGTTTAGGGCTAAAAGTTCAAGTTAGCCACAGAAAAACTGAATAGCATTTAGAAGAAACTTTAAAGCACCCCCACCCTTGCTTTTAGCTTTTAGCTTTGAAGTACTTAAGTGTAAATGGAAGAACCTGTTTGAAACCCTACTTAATGTTTATTAAGAAAAAAGCTGAAAAGGAATTCTTCAAGCCATCACAAGCACTGCCCAGTAACTCTTTTTTTTTTTGCGAACTTTCAATTTTAATTACTACATACGGAATATTTTATTTGCTTTCCATGTTTCTTAAGAATATGTGGCTATTGTTAGTTCACAAATTTCATTCTGATTTCGTTTCCATGTGAAGAAATTTGAGCATGTTTCCTGTGACAGGCAGCTGCATTAAAAGGAGAAGCACCTCCTGGACTCCCTTTGAAAGGGGCTGGTCAGGATTCTGACGCACAGCCAAAGGTGAATACTTGCTACTATGTCTTTTCAGAAGGTGAATAAAAGTTTGCCACTTTTGATCCCCCGACTATTGTGTCAGTGACACTGTTGGTACTCAACTTTTAATTTTTCCATTCTAATCCTCGACTATTGTGTCAGAGACACTTTTAGTCCTCGACTTCCAAGTTTCCCACATTTAGTCCCCTGAGTATTATTAAATTGACACTTTTAGTCCTTCCACTATGATTTTAACACAATAAGTGGATGACTAAAAATGTCACTATTATAGTAGTTGAAAGTCGAAGGACTAAATATGGAAATTTTCAAAGACGGGTCCCAAACGTGTCTTTCGCACAATATTTGAAGGACTAAAGTGGGAAAATGCAAAGTCGAGGACCAAAAGTGTCAGTGACATAATAGTCAGAGGATTAAAAGTGGCAAAAACTCGTGAATAAAATTTATTGGAGTATAGTAGATAATGAGCTGGAAAAACAGGTTTCTAATGGCGGTCTTCCTAATCCATGTGATGCACTATCTGGTGAACTCTGGGAGGTAAAGAAAGAGAGAATACGCAAAGCCTCCATATATGGGAAACTACCTGGCTGGGACTTGCGATCTGTAAGTTATACTTCTTTAAGACCTTAAAGTCATACATTTTCTGAATCATGTGGTGCTTTATGCGTCTCTGCTCATTCAATATTTTCGTTATGCTAAAGTGGCACCTCACTCATCCAATAGGGCCTTAGTAATTTTCTCAAAACATTACATGAAATCTATAGAATGAAAGTTGTTGCTGTCCTAATTCCCTAGAATGAAATAAAAAATTAAGGAATAAAGAAAAAGATTCATTATGCTTGGCAGTATAGAAAACAACATTCAGACTATCAAGTTAACATCATAAATTACTTCAGATTGGCAGAGCAACTTATACACCACTCAAACATCTACATTACAAGTTCTGAATAGTTCATTTTCTTTTATTAACCACTCATGAATGAATTGTTAAAGTAGTCACTATTGGCGCAAATTTGAATATAAAAGTTTGTGATTTGTAACTTCCAAGATACCAACATATTAATTGGTCATGACTGGATTTGGGTTTGTCAATAGAAGTCCAATGTGTGGATGCATAAAAGAAGTGGTCACTATATTAGTTCGGTTTCACTCCCTGTGTCCCAACGGGACAGTTGCATGAGTGCAGTTTACTCCTTTGACCTGGAAAAGTTTTGGTCCTTTTTGTGAAAGCTTGAGAACGCTGTCTCTGTCATTTTCATTTTCTCTTGGTATAGTTAGTCTTATGTTTCTGTCACTTGACCCGCAATTTAATTTTTGGGAAAGCACCAAACACAGTCCTATGTTTCTTTAGTTTTAGTTTGGCTTGATTTATGTCTGCTGGTCTTTCATGTAGTTATGGTTAATGCATTGATGTCTTATCTTGTTAATGGGTGGATTAGAAATGCATTTACCTGAGAAGAATGATCTTTGAAGTCAAAAGTTAAATTTGTGTCATGCAATTTGTGCGTCAGATTTAGTACTTCAATACTTATAGTCATTGACTCATTGTTGTGTTAATGAGGGGGAACAGTGCTTTTAAAAATCTAAGAGGTATAAACTTCCTGGAATACACTTCTTAGAAGATGGTGATATAGATATATTATCACAACCAATATTATATTTATTAGGTTTTGTGGTGATAGCTAGAGGATGGTGGTGCAATTGCAGGCAGAAACAATTTTTCAATATGATTGCTTTATGATAACTATGACTGAATTTTAATTAATCTTCAAGAGTGCAAGACCTAGTATCACAAAAAATTTACCTTGATGATAAATCTGATAATACAGCTATTGTTTATGTTCTTTATCTTTGAAGGGTGAATAGTTTGTTCCTGGTGTATTACCTTTTTTGAGTGATTTCTGAAGGAAACTCTTGAAAATATTACACATTGTTCTTGTGATGTATTTGTTGATTCCATGGTGACTTGAGAGTCTATAAAGGTTTAAGGTTAATAGTTAGTCTTTTGGCAACCTTTTGTCACTTTGTTGTAGTGATGCCCTGATAGCTAAGCTGGAGTAAGTTAAGCTACATGCTTTACTTCTAGCTGTATTAGGTTTTTTTCTTACGTTTTCCTGGTTTGACCTCTTCCGTAGTTCAGTCATATTAAATTAAGATGCCTTATTTTATGAAGCTAGCAGGTAACATTACCCCTTTTGTTTTGAAATAGGCCATTGTAAAGAGTGGTGATGACTGTAGACAGGAACATCTTGCTGTTCAACTCATTTCCCACTTTTATGGTAGGCAACTCTTGATCCTTGTTGTATTTTGAGAGTATTTTGCCGTCTTTCTTAATATTAATCAACCGGTTTCCTATTTTTTGCTAAACATTACTTTTCAATAGGTTGCTTTATCATCTACCTTCTCTATTTATGGTGCTTTCTGAACTTAAGTATCCATAACAATTGAGGAATGCCAGCATTTTTGCTCCAGGATAGCATAATTCACTCTCAGATGATTATAATTTACAATCTATTTCAACTTGCACACAAATTATAGGATCAAATTAGCTAAAAAGTTTTTAACAGGCCCTTAATCAATACCCTTTACCTAAGATGTTAAGATTTGCAGAATTTGATCCTTTATGACACAAATGTAATTAGTAATACACTAATACAGTAATGCCCTCTAGCAATAAAAAGTTCTAATGTAAACATTCTGGGACTTCGGTTGCGGTCATTTATATCAGCATGACAGTGAATTATGAGAAGCTTCCTTCTTTTAATGTACAATCATAATGTTTGTAGTAAAACATATGTTTAAGTCTCTACCCCAGTTTGTTTCCCAGCCCTAACAATATGTTAGAGTTTTGTTATACTGCTGGCATGACTTCTGTCTTATTGTTTCCATTATTTATTTACGTGTTCATGTACATGATACAATTTTTACCTCAAAATTTGAAACTCTTTAGTTTTTAAGTTTTATAACAAAAAAGTATGACATTACCTAGATCAAAGCTAATGTGGTACTTTGAGAGGTCTAAGAATGTTTTTTGTTGGCTTGTTCTTCTTCATTTTAAAAGGTTGATCTGGTATGAGTGTACATCATTTGGTACTATTTCCTTTATTAGAATTCAGAACACTGTTGATCGATCATTGTTTACGTATTTTTGAAATTTACAATTGTCAGATATATTCCAGGAAGCTGGTCTTCCCCTCTGGTTGCGGCCATATGAAGTCCTTGTTACATCATCATACACAGCACTAATTGAAACTATTCCAGATACGGTAATTGGCTCATTGCTTTTATTTTTGTTATTGCTGCTTGTCTTTAAATGAGTATATAATGCTTTATGAATCTGTTTTGCATGTCGTGGGATGATGGTGCATGAACATTTCTGCAGGCCTCTCTTCATTCTATCAAAAGTAGATTTTCTAGTATATCAAGTCTACGAGACTTTTTTGTTGCCAAGTATCAAGAAAATTCTCCGGCTTTTAAGCTTTCTCAGGTAATGGATCTTAAGTTGGCATTGATATCCAATTCCAACATGTTTTTTCCCTCATCAGGCTCTTTACCAATAAATAAGTCTGGTTTTTAATGATTTAAAAGTACATGTAGGAAAGAGAAGTTATAGACCATTAGTTCTTTCCAGCTTTTGATACTCCTTGAAAACAATCTTTCTTGGCAGGGGCGATAAACAAACACGGACACATCTAATTGCGAGTGAGTGAGATATATATATATATATATATATATATATATATATATAGAGAGAGAGAGAGAGAGAGAGAGAGAGAGAGAGAGAGAGAGAGAGAGAGAGAGAGAGACTTCGGGAACCTAGATGCAAGTTCTATTATTTTGAAGTATGTCTAGTTTCGAGTTTTCGGCCATCAGCAGCAATTTTAAATTAGGAAACTCAATTTTACCTCCATAATGTTTCAAAATTTACTCTCTTAAATGCAGGAATCCAAAGAACATAACCTTCATGAACTCTTTTGAATGGTTTGGTTTCCAAAATAAAAATGGCCTGTAATTCAAAGCAGCAAGACTGTAAAGATGAGTGTTTCTAGACAATCTAAAAAGACTCATTTTACATATTAGAAACTACTGTAGTCTAGGATAAGTCCATTGGCCATTTAAGCGTTCCTTTCTTCTTAGTAAAATTCCTAAATGCTACAGGTAATATTCGACTATTCGTTCTTTTTTTTTGCCAGAAGGCATATAACTGTTTTATTTTCTATTTTTTCCTACTACAGAAAAAAGTGAGTCCCCATCTCTGAATGTGATCTTTTGCATTTATGTGTTTCAATCTCATGCAGAGAAACTTTGTCGAAAGCATGGCTGGATATTCGCTGGTTTGCTACCTTCTGCAGGTGAGATCATGTCCACTCTCTCTTTCTCTCTCTCTCTAGTATCCAACAAATAACACTACTTCCTCAATGTGGTGTGTTAATAAGTGAATAGATAAATCTTGATCTAAGTATTGATTGTTTATCTCTTGGCTACTTTTAATCTTTTATTTGCAGTGTTTTTTGGAAGGGATTAATTATTTAAGTTTACATGAGCAGTGTCTAATAGGTGTTGCATTACCATCTACCAAGTACTAACATTATTGTTTTTGAGTAGGTAAAAGATAGACATAACGGGAATCTCTTGTTGGATGAGGAGGGTCACATCATACACATTGATTTTGGGTTTATGCTATCCAATTCTCCTGGAGGTGTAAATTTCGAAAGCGCACCATTTAAGTTAACTCGTGAACTTCTTGAGGTTGGCCGTTATATTGTAGAGCTGGAATTTCTGTATGATTTTCTGGCATTTGATTCTAGTAGTGCTTGAATGATGTATTCCATGAATGTACACACAGGTCATGGATTCCGATGCTGAGGGAGTCCCAAGTGAGTTCTTTGATTATTTCAAGGTAATGTTTTTTTTCCATTTCGTGTGCTCTGGTTTCAAATTAGTAATTACCATCATTTAACTACACTTTCATAATTGGCTTATCTGTTTCACACAGGTTCTATGTATCCAAGGTTTTCTGACATGCCGTAAACATGCTGAGCGCATCATTCTTCTCGTCGAGATGTTGCAGGTAATTCCAAGGAAGGATTCCTTTGGCACTTACTTTCCATTGTGACTTGTTTGGGATGCTAGGGGTCATATTACATTGCTAGTATTCAGAGCCCATGTGTTGATGCACCATAGTTCTGCTATGTTGTGGATGTATCAGGGGAATTCATTAATAACACTTTTCAGGACTAATGATTTTATTTAACAGATCGTCCATTATAAGGGAGGGATATTTGATGATAACCGTTTATTAAAGGACTTCAATTTATTTAAGGATAGAATGATCGATAAAAGTAGCTAGTTCTAAATTGTTTTTATGATGATGAGCTAGTGTATGATGCCTGGGTAGCATGCCCTCTTTCACCGGTTGCATGTTGTAATGGCCAACACATAGGATACACCCCCAAAGGGATTTTGGGAAGCGCTCTATGATGGTAGCGTTTTTTTGTCTGATGAGTTGGACTTTGTATCCTTAATGTTTTGTCTGATGAGTCACGAGTTGAACTTTGTATCCTTGATATAGTTTGATCATTTACAACTTCAGATAATAACATGAACGTAAACGAGTTTCATGTCCTAAACAATCAAACATGACACATAAAATGTAGTCTATGATTCAAGGAGTAGTTCAACCAAGAGATTATTTCTGAACTTTTTCTCTTTACTGTTCTGACGCTACTATTTGTTTGCATATGATAGGATTCTGGATTTCCTTGTTTTAAAGGGGGTCCAAGAACGATACAGAACTTAAGGAAAAGATTCCATCTTAGTTTAACAGAAGAGGTTTGGTTTGATTTCTGTGCTCTCGAACATATTGATCCTTTTTTTTCTGCTCACAATTGATTTTTATTGGTGTGGTTCTTCAGCAATGTGTATCCTTGGTGCTCTCTTTGATTAGTAGTAGCTTGGATGCATGGAGGACTCGTCAGTATGATTATTACCAGAGAGTCCTAAATGGGATATTATAAGGTCAAACTTGAGAATAGCCATTTTTAGCTGATTTTGAGACACGGGTGGGTTGAGGACTATCAGCATGTATGATGTTGAGAATTTGCGTGGGAACTCAAATTGTGAATCTCAGGGGATATGGTCTTGTTCTGGTAAAAGATGCTCACATCGGTCATAGCCATCCAGATAAAAGACAGTTCCTTATTTGGTATTTGAAGATTCAATTCATTTGCAACCTGATTCGGGTTGATACTGTACAGAGATAATGCTATGAAGGCAAATTGGAAAGGCAACAAGCCAACAACGCAATTGTCGGGATCGCGCTGATTGAGTTGTGATTTTTGTATACCTTCTAGCATGGTGAAGAACTCACTTTGTACTTTTTCTTTATTCCCTGATTGGGGACCAGTTTCTTCTTTTCTTCACTTGTGCTAAAGGTCCAAGCAGCATAGGAATACATCATGTAATTTATGGTTTAAAATTCTTATGACACATCCTCAAGCTGGAGTTCTCTTTGTTGTGATTTTGAGAAACGCTTGAAGTAACATATTTGTCGTGTGTATAATATTCTTTTTTTATTTTCATTTCACTTGTCACTATGAATGCGCTTTTGTATGATTGAAAATTACCCATTTCCATGTGTACATTCTTGGTCTAAACATGATTCTTATAAAGTTTGTAATAAACATCCACATTGGAGCTGCCTACCCGGGCCGGTTCTGGTTCTCCCTTCCCAGAGAAAAAGCTCGGCCGGGCCCAGGCCTGAACTGGAACCGGCCCGGCCCGGCCCGGGTACATCTAGGGATGGACCCGGGTCGGGCCGGTTCCGGGCTGGGCCCGGACGGGCTTTTTTTTACAAACATGGGCCCGGAACCGGCCCGGGGTGATACCGGGTCCGGTCCTGGTCGGGCCTACCCGGCCGGGTAGGGGGCCGGTTCGGGCCGGGCCCAGGCTATTTTTTTGTTTTGTTTAAATTAAGATGTAGTACAATTGGACAAGTCAAAGTTAAAATATATTTATTTGAAATATGTAGTACAATTGAAAATTGAGCAAAAATTAAAACATGAAATACACTTTATAATAAATAAGAATCAATCGGAATTTCCGCCATCTTCGGTTGTATCTTCCATAAAGTGGCGGGTGGGTTCAATGCTAACTTTTTGGAAACAAACAAGCGCCTCAAGAGAGTTTGCGCTCAATCTCGTTCTATAATCCGTTAGGACGTTGCCGGAGAAATTTATAATTCGTTATAAATTTGAGAAGATGAAGATGGAGAAGATTAGTAGAGAATAGAGATTAGAGAGTAAGAATATTTGGAGAAGATGTGTAGTAAGTTGTATAGAAAAAATGGAGTATTTATAGATTTTTAGTACCCCCCACCCCCAACCCACCCTGGGACCCCTGTCAGGCTCCCAACGGCTATAGAGCCGTTTGGGTTCAAATGCAACGGCTCTAAGGCCCTGTTTGGCTGCCAAACAATTTTTTTTTAAAACTATCCGTTAGGCCTGGACCGGGGCCGAACCGGCCGGGCTGGGCCGCCTTTTTGATGAACCGTACCCGAACCGCCCTCCTCCCCCAGGCCGGGTCAAAGCCTGAACCGGTTTTTTGGTACCCGGGCCGGCCCGGGGCCCCAGCCTTCGGGCCCGCACAGTGGCGGGCCGGTTCCGGGCCGGGCCGGGCCGGGCCGGTTGAGTCCACCACTGGGTCCATCCCTACAATAGACCACTTGTGTGAGTTATCCCAAACACGAATCGTGATTTTGTCATACTTTATGGTCCATGATTCCAAATTAGAGAAGAGTTCATCAATTGTTATAAGAATCTTGCTCTCTTATGTCCAAAATCCAAATCATTATGTTGAGGTTTATTCCTTCAACCCTTGGACCCAACACGTAAGCCCAAAGATTTCGAGTGGAGTGAGTGTGTGGATATCTAGCCCAACAACTTTCAGATGGATCAGGAAACAAGAGAAATAGCAGGCAATGTAAATAGGTATTATTAATCTTCGTAATAACTCCCCTAAGTACAATCTACTTGCTAAAAGGGCACGTCGGCCGTTCGTCTTACAAGGCAGTAGAAATGCTCCGAGTAAGAATACAATAGCTAGATGCTAAGGATAGAAAGTTGCCAACCCTTTACAATGAAATAAATGCTTCTATTTATACCCACCAATGGGCAGGTGGCTGTACTGACGTGGCAGCCTGTGGACCGCTGGTGTCCAACTACCAAATCTCCAGCATTAAATGCACTTCCCGCCAGAATCTTGGTTTCCCGCCCAATCGGTGGGGACGTTCGTCCGCCCGGGAAATGAGTTGGATCGCCCCAAGGGACCCTCAGGAGATACCGGCTGTTCGTCTCCTGGCCTTGCGGGTATTTACCATGTGGACTGGGCTTCCTCCGATGACTATAGGCTTGCCATGGGGACGTTCGTCGTCATCCCTGGTGGCCCGTGGCCCTGCTCCTCGTCCCTGCGTTGACGCTCGTCGGGAGGGGCCGCTGGGCCTGAACTCCCAACCCCAGACGTTCGCCCATCCCCAAGGAACATGGGCCTGTGGGTTGGCCTAGTGTTTCCAACTGGACGTTCGTCCGGCAAAGTGGGTTAGTGGGCCGGACCTCGGCTTGGGCCCTTAACCCAACACAAGTCCCCCACTTCTGATGTTCTGAGCATGCGCAGGACATAAGGAAGTATGAATCCCCCCGAAATAGACGTCCGTATCTTGGTACTTGTGTTTATTGCATCTGGTGGGAGCGTACGCTCGTGGTCATGGTGCCTGACAGCTGTTGCCGGTTCAGGAAACGAGGTGACGGCTGATGTTGCGGCGGCGCATTTTCCCGAGGAAGTGCCATCATTACGTTCCCATCCCACGCACAGCGCGTGGGCCGGAATACGCTCCTTGCCACGTGTCAGCTCCTCGTTGGTTTCCCCATCGGTGTTTCTGCTATAAATGCCGGGTTTTCCCTCTGAATTAGGGTTCCCAATTTCTGCCCTCTTGCTTTCGACTTTCCGCAGCTCTTCAAGTCTTCTTCTCCCCTTCCGAATTCGGCTAACCCCCTTGTAAGGTAATTTTCCCCCTCTGCTTCTTTTCTTGTTCTGATCCCTAGCCGACATGACTTCGATGGAGATTTCGTCAAGTTCTGAGTCCGGTTCGTCGGGTTCCTCCTCGGGCTCCTCTTCGGACAATGTGAGTGCGCGCTCCCCCGGAAAGGCCAGTATTTCCGGGACCTCTGGGTCGGCCACGACGGTGGCGACCATCCGGGCCGATGGCGAGCCGGATGATGTGTCTCAAAGTAGTGGGAGCGACGCCGGGGACGGGGGTGCTGACGGGGCAGTAGATGTTATTGACGCAGTCCCCCTGAATGAGCGTCCTGCTGATTATGATTCTGGAGAGGAGGCCGAATCCGGTTCCGATATGGAGGTGTATGACCTGGGCATCCCTACGGATATGGAGCGCCACATCTGCCCGATCAGGAGCGCCCTTGACCATGACCAGGTCCTCTCCCGTGTGGCCCTCAACAAGATCCGTACCTTCTTCCCCCCGCCGTTCGTCTGGAGCGTGAGGGGCGCTGAGCACGTGATGAGGAGACGTCCAGGGATGATCATGCTTCACTTGGACTCCGTCGAAGCTGGGCTGCGGTTTCCCCTTCACGCATTTTATGTGGAGTTCTTCCACTGCTTCCAAGTGGCCCCGGCGCAATTCATGCCGAACTCCTATAGGTTCATTTCGGCCTTCTTGGTGCGCTGCAAACTTGCGGGGGTCGAAGCCAGCCTGGATCTGTTCCACTACTTCTACCGGATCACTCCCCAGAACTCCGACGGGTATCTGAGCGTGGCCGCTCGTCCGGGGAGGAGGCTTTTTAAGAGCTACCCCTCCTCCATCCATGACTGGAAAAACCGGTTCTTCTTCCTTCGCTATGATGGTCCTCCCCTCCCAGTTCGTTGGAATGGCTACCCCCCGAAGATAGAGTCGCCGGAGTTGACCGACGATCTGAGTGAGGCCGTGGAAGGCATCCTGCAGGGCGGCATTCGCCCCATAGCTGGCTATCTGACCTTCGAGGCACTCTCGGGGGCAGGCATAGGTACCGCCCGTGTCCTTGGACTCCTTCCACCCTTCGACGCTCGTCTCGGGGCACCGGGCGGTCCTGTCCTTCGAGGTGAGTGTCTTATTGTATTCCCCGCTCGTCTTTTAACCCTTTGTGGTTTCTTGCAGGTTCCCCGCCAGACAGAGACCAGATGAATCACGCCGAGTGCCTGAAGACAAGGAAGGCCAAGGCGGCCGCTGCTAAAGCCGCACAGGCGAAAGCCAAAAACGCCCCCGCCTCGGAGTCTAACTCCTCGGCTTCTGATGCTGCCCGGCGAACAGCTGAGGGTGAGCAGCATTTAATCGCCACCATGCTGGCTCAGGGTTCTGGGGCCCCTGCTCTTGAAGCTGCCCTTCCGCCGCCGGTCGTCCCTTCGAAGGCGGTTCCTCAGAAGGGGACGGAGAGGGTCCCCGAGAAGAAGCAGAAGAGGGGCCGTGAGGCAGGCTCCACTGGTCCCCTGCTTGAAGATGCCGGCTCTCTGCCATTGAGCCGCCCGGCGGAAGAGCTTTGGAGGGAGATGGCCCTCAAGGCCGGTCTCGAGCTGCCCCGCCGTTCGTCTTCCGAGGCGACCAGTGCTGCCCTGGCAGCCGCTCTTCAGGTAATTTCTCCTTGCTAGATCCGAGTACATTTTTTCCTTGACGTTCATCCCCTGACCATTGCTTTCTCTTCTGTTATCCAGTCTGGGCTTCTAGTCCTCCAGGCTGAAGCTGCCAGGGAGGTCGATCTGAAGGAGGCCAAGGCCAAGGCTGATGCGGCCGTCGCCACAGCCCGGGAGGCCGCTCGCCGAGCCGAGGCGGAGGCTGCAGCCAAGGGGAGGGAGATTGCAGCCCTGCAGGCCGAATCCCGCAGCCAGTTGGCCGGCCTTGAGAGAGCCGGTTTCAAGCTTGTTCCGGTGCTTCCTGCCGCCAAGGATGCCACTCCGGAGTGGTTGGTCGACACCTCCGGCTACAAGAACACCGGGGAATTTATGGATTCTGCTAAGGACTACTGCGCCGGGGCCTTCGGCGACGTGTTCTCCGCGGCGCTGGCGAAGATCCCGCCCCGGCAGCGCCTGGCGTGCGGCGTGCGGATACTGGAGAGTTCCCCCTTGTCGCATAAGTTTCTCTACGAGGTCGGCGACAGCTCCTTCGCCGCTGGCTACAATGAGGGGGTTAAGGCCACCCTCCCCATTTTCTCGAGGCTGCAGGGGGCCGACTTCGAGCTTGCTGCAAATACAGACGACGATCTGCTGCTTCAAGCCTTGGGGAAGTTGGGGAGAGATCAACGGCGGGAGGAGGCCAAGGCTAGAGGGGAAACTCCGGAACCCCCGTCCCCCGAGCCCGAAGCCGAGGAGGAGGAGCAGATCCCGGGAGGCAGCCGGCCTGAGTCCCCTTTCATGGTGTAAATGTACATTGTAACCTCTTCATTTTGCGCTTGTAATGCCCGGCCGTTAGAGCCGAAGAATATATACAACTTTGGATCGAATTGTCTCTACGTTCATGATCTTTACTTCTTTATTTCCATCCTTTTGTCTTTTGTTGTATGGAAACTCCCTTTGTGTTTCGATATTCTCTGTTGCATAA